CACTCTTCTGTCATGATTTCTGCCTCACTGGAGCCCTGAGGAATGGAGCTGGCCTTTTATAGACTGAGATTTCTGAAGCCATGAGCCCCTAAATTTCTTTTCCTTCTCTAAAATTGTTCTTATCAGGTCTTTTAGTCACCGAAGTAAAAAAGCTGACTAAAATACTCCTTTATTATTTGTTCCACTTTTGACAATTTAGTAGATGAGGGGAATTTTTTAATATAGTAATCCAGTTAATAAATGAAGAATGAACAATAAAATTAGAATATAATCATTTCTGCATCCTCCTAAATAAATTAATGACTCCAGACCTTCCTTATTAATAACTACTAATATCACAAAGAGAGATAGTTTAGCAAAAGTAAAAAACAAAAAGTAAGCTGGGCATGGTAGCATAGGCCATGGTGGGAGACTGAGGCAAGAGCATCCCAAGTTCAAGGCCAGCTGCAGCAACTTAGTGAGAACTTCTCAAAATAAAAAAATAAATAAATAAATAAAAAGGACTGGGGATGCAGCTCAGTGGTAAAGTGCCCATGGGTTCAATCCTGGGTTCAATGACAAAAAAAAAAAAAAAAAAAGGCAGAAAAACCTGAATCTTTCACACATCTAGACCCAATTACAAAAGCACAGGTTAAGAGGGAACGGAACATACTGAATGACCACAGGAATACAATCAGCAAAATCAACTATGAAACTCAATCACAAAAATGACCAACTTTAGCAGGGTAGGGTGGCAGACACCTATAATCCTAGCAGTTTGAGAGGCTGAGACAGAATGAGAGAGTCCAAAGCCAGCCTCAGCAAAAGTGAGGTACTAAGCAACTCAGTGAGACCCTGTCTCCAAGTAAAATACAAAATAGGGCTGGGGATGTGGCTCAGTGGACGAGGGTCCCTAAGTATAATCCCTGATACCTCCCCTCCAAAAATGACCAACTTTTGTCAACAAATAAATTTCAAGAAAAAAAATAAAGGTGCAGGAAGTATTAAAGAAAAACAAGAGACATAAGAACCGATAACAATATGTAGGCCTTATTTGGAGCCAGATTCAAACTAACAAATGGAAAAAGAAAAAAAAAAGATAAATTTAAGATAAAAATGAAAAATTGAACACTGACCAAATATTTATTATTAAGGAATTATTATTAAATTGTGGGTAAACAGTATGTCAGTATGTGTTTATCATTTTGTAAAGCATCTTTAACTTTTAGAGATAAATGCTAAAATATTCCTGAAAAACATCCATTAATGACATACTTACATTGTAAGCCACATAGGTCCATCTGGACACTTTTACTGGAACCCACATGGATGTCCCTTAAAGAGAAGGAAATTAATTTACTTGCCTTTTTATATAAAATATTTTTTTGAGTCCTGGTAAAATAATCATAACAAAAAAATGTTTTCCTGAACATTGGCTATTTTAAAAAATAAAATCGAAAAACATGTTCTCATTATGCTTACCACCAACTAGCATGTAAAGTATTATAAATCTACCAGGCATCTTTAACTCTGAGAAATTATCAATAGAAGTAAATAAATATTTCATTTCCAAAATATGACATTTAATTAAATAAACTATTACAGGTATTACTAAAATGAAAAGCAAAATTTATCAGCAAAAAAATATGCTGGTAATCCAAAGAAAGACTGAAGAATAAATGATATTGAGAAACTAAGAGGTATCAAAAATAACACAGCTCTTATTTTTAAAACACCTTGTATTTTTCATGCTATTTTCAGCACAGATATTTATCAGTACCTTACTACTTGCTTTTCTACTTTCTCCCTTCCAAATCAAGAAACTCGTTAGCATCACCAAAAGAAAATTAATAAATATTAGGATAACATCTGATGTATTAGTTTCAAATACTTTGTGTAACAACAAACTTAAAAATAACAATAATGAAAATTTCTACTTAAAATGTTATTACCACCAACCTGTTAAATCAGAAATTATTGATGGATTTTCCTCAAAATGTTTTGCAGGATGCCTTATAAAGTGGTGATTCAAAACTGACAATTTCTTCTTGGAATTTTGAGTAATCTAGAATAAACATTAACACATTCCATCATACCATGATAGTTCAATGAAACGCTGTTTCAAGTAATAATATTAAATACCAAATATTATTTCAAGTAATAATAATAAAGGCCAACATTTCTGAGTCAGGGACTGTTCTAAGCCCTTAACATGTTTCCAAATTCAGACCAGCCCCAATCCCACAACAAAGAATCCATTGGGCAATAGAGAAAACACAAATTATCAACGTTTTTCTTGGAAACTACCTTACATAAGTGTTAAGACTTCTTTTTTCATCTTCGGAATTACTGGAAATATGGTTTTGTTTATTAAAATAAATTATAAAATTTTATTTAAAAATATATCTGTCTGAAGTATTGCTGATTTTCATTGATTGGCATAAGGTTTTTCCTACCATGTGTCAGTTTGAATACAAACTAGTTTCGAAATTTTAATTGATCCAATTATTGTATCTAGTTGTACTCTGTCAAGGAGGCTTAAAACTTCTGCTGGTTAAGCCTCACAATGAAAACAATGTCAACCAACCATAAAATGTTTGTGTTCCAGGATCAAGTCACAGTGTCAACTCCATGAAGTTCACTTATTTCAATAAATATACTATATCCATTAATATTATACACTAATATGAAATTTTCTGGCTTAAAATTTGGTAAAACATAAACACTTGGATCTTTAAGAGAAAACTAAGTATCTGTGATTCTAATTGTGGTTATTTAGCCTTCTGAAGAGTTTAGAAAAAAATACAGACACTTTTCCCTATCTCTCAAGAAAGTTTACCACAGGAGAAAAGTTCTAAGACACAATGATAAAGGAAAGTTTTACCTAGAAACCTACTGAGAGAAGCCACCAAGACTTGAAGACTTTAGGAAAGAGAATCCAAAACTATCTGGACTGTATGCTTTGAAAAAGATTGCCTAAAAATAGTAAAATTTTCTCTCCAAAGGAGAAGTCAAGAGCCACAGTTCTCAAAATATGTTTCCATGCAACAGTGAGATACTGCAAGATGACCTGAAGTAAAGGCTATTTAAGAGGAATAATGGCAATCTATTTCCAACTCAACAAAAAAGAAATTTTGCTAAAATCCTTGGTGTCTGCCACTATTTATTTATCTGCTAGCAGACAAGAAAGAGAAGAAAGAGTAAAGTGATGTTCTGTAAAGGGCACTATGATTTCCGTATGTTCTTCTAATTGAACAACCTGAAAAAAATCACCTATTTTAAGAGGTGAATTTATAATTGTGAAATCTCACTATAGAACAGGTTCAACTTATACAAACACACATTTTAAGTTCTTGTGAGCTTGGTTTATTCACTAAATGAACATATTTTAATCTTATCAGAAAGCTAAAATCCCTGTATATTTTGAATTTAGGTGTCCCCTACAAAGACACGGTATGGTTTTGATATTTGGTGTCCCCAAAAAACTTATGGTGAGACAATGCAAGAAGGTTTAGAGAAAAAATGATTGGGTTATGAGAATCTTAACCCAATCAGTGAATTAATCCCCTAATGGGATTAACTGAGTGGGATTAACTGAGTGGCAACTGAAGGTAGGCATTGTTGGGGGAGGAAGGTCCCTGTGGGGCATGCCTTTTGGGATATATACTTTCCATTTGGAGAGTGGACTCTCTCTCTGCTTCCTGATTATCAGGTGAGCTGTTTCCCTCCACCACAATCTTCCACCATCAAGTGGTACTTCACCTTAAGCCCCAAGGAATGGAACCTGATGTCTATGAATTAAGACCTCTGAAACTGTGACTCCTCAAATAAACTTCTTCCTCTACAATTGTTTTGATTGGGTCTTTTAGTCACAGCAGTGAAAAACACAATTGAAGCAGACACTGTTTAAATACATGGTCCAAAATATCTAATAAGATAAATAATGATGTTTACAATACTAAGAAAAAATATTATAAAATAGCTTGTAATAAGTATTTAAAAAACAAAAGAGATATATATCAGACTTTTAAACAGTGAAGGGGTAAACTGGGGGAAAGTTTAAAGTATTCTTTTACTTTTTCATTTTTATTGCATTTTGAGTTAACATTGATCAAAGGATGATGATGATGATGATGATGATGATGATGATTAACCTGGCATTATTATTATTATTATTATTATTATTAACCTAGAAAAGTGGTGAACACCTATAATCCCAGTGACTTGGGTGGCTGAGGCAGGAGAATTACAGGTTTAAGAGCAGCCTCAGCAACTTAGACCCTAAATTCAAAATAGAATTTAAAGTAGCTCAATGGTAAAGAACCCCTGGGTTCAATTCCCAGTATTGCTAAATAAACAAATAGTATGTGTGGAGGGGGCTTTAAAAAACAGTGGTCAAAATATGATCAAAAAAAAAAAAAGAAAAAGGAAAAAAAAGATATTCCCATTTGGTTCTTATTAAAATTGATGCAAGGTATAGGCTTCTATTTTCATCAATGTAAAAAAATGCATTAAATCATTGCTGTAACAAAAGCTTTCATTTTGCTGAAATAAGAATTAGTTTAAAAATACGTACTTGTTTAGTATCGGCATCAATAAGATCAAAGAAGGCTCGAATTGTAGTCAACTGCAATTGTTTACACCTAAAGAATAAATCGTTATGAATGAAACTTCCTTAAAATATACACTCTTGATACAAATATGCATTCTATTATTTAATGGAAGATTTTCAGTTTCCTTTAATGCTGCAAACTAAAAAGTTATTTAACAAATAATTCTTGTTAAGCATATATCTTAAGGTTGAAACCTATTAAAATAAAGCAAACTAAATCTTCCGTAATGTTTGTCAGAACTATCAGAGTCCTTCTGTCTTCACTTAATATCCTCACCTACCCTAACTCCTAGCTACAGATATATCATGTCTGCCCTATTCTTATATATGTGTGCTCTGTGTGGTTCTGTAGACACTACGGCTTACCCAGCCAGAAGACACTTAAGAGAATCTTTAACCCAAAACATAAAGAGACACTAGAATCTGCCCCTTTTTTGATCCATATTTAATCTCTTTTTTTTTCTCTTACATCAAGAGTAAATCTAATTTCTACTTGGTTTCCCATGTCCTGCCAGGACAGATTTGATTCTGCCTAACTATGATAAACTCGAAAATTTTAGTATCTGATGCTTAGCTTCCTTTGAAACTAAGGATACTGATTCTTTAGGAGATAATATTATAGACTCTAAAGGGAACCATGGTCAAACTGAGACAAGAGCCAAGTTTTGAATTTTAAATCCCTAAATTAATCTTTCTCCCACAGACTTATTTATGGATAAAACTAATTAATGCATTGATGAGAGAAGAGGACCATGACAAATCACCAAAATGTTATATTAACTTACCACACAATAGAGAGGTGGTCTGTTGAGACCCAGGTCTTAGGCACTGCTGAACTCTAAAAAGAAAGGGGGAAAAAATCAAACTTAAGAAAACCACATTTGTTATTCTCTGAAAGGTCTGACATTCTTATAAGCTAATATTTAGAAACACAGTATTAGTTTCACTGCATTATATTCTTTTAAAGATACATCTTATAAAAGGTGATCCAAATAATATGAAGATATTTCTTGTATAAAATAATGTAACTCTGAATGTCATTACTGGTTAGTCAAGCTTAAATTACCTTTAAAAATTATTAAAGCATGCATTTAAAGAAACTGTGGTATATATACACAATGAAACATTACTCAGCATTAAAAGAGAATGAAATCATAGCATTTGCAAGTAAATGATAGAGTTGGAGAACATTATGCTAAGTGAAGTAAGCCAATCCCCCAAAACTAAAGGCCAAATGTTTCCACTGGTAAGTGAATGCTGATCCATAATGGGGGTGGGGGAATAGCATGGGAAGAATGGAGGAGCTTTGGATAGGGGAAAGGGGAGGAAGGGGTTAAAGGGGTGGGAAAGATGGTGGAATGAGATAGACATCTTACCCTAGGTACATGTATGAAGAACAAATGGTTTGACTCTACTTTGTGTACAACCAGAGAAATGAAAAATTGTGCTCCATTTGTGTACTATGAGCTGAAATGCATTCTGCTGTCATGTATAACAAATTAGAACAAAGTAATTAATTTAAAAAATTATTAAAGCATCCATAGATTCTGTACTGAAATTTAACATGTAACTTTTTAATTACTTTTAATAAGAAGATGAGTTTAAGACTCTTTAATAAATCAGTTTATGAAATATATTACAAAAGATATTTCAGTAATTTTAGTTTTAACTCAACTAAGATTCAAAATCATGACTCCTTAATTAGGAGGGTGCCTGAGAAATAAATGCTTTAAAATAGTTTTGAAAAATTAAATATGCCTGATCACAATTCTAAAACAACCAAATCAGATTTTTGTAAGTGGGGTCCAGGCTTACTTATTTTAGGAAAAACAAAACAAAACCTATATGGATTAGGAAGTACAGTTGTATAGTTATCTGGTTAGAGATATAAAAAGAAAAGGCTCCTAAACAACATAAATGATGTTTAGAAAGAAGGATTCCTTAACAATGTTGTTATGGTTTGGATGTGAGGTGTCCTGCATTATAGCATTAGCCTGCTCATGTGTGAGACAACGTAAGAAGGTTAAGAGGAGAAATGATTGGGTTATGAGAGCCTTAAACCAATCAGTGAATTAATCCCCTACTGGGGATTAACTGAAGGCAGGTAGGGTGTGGCTAGAGGAGATGGGCATTGTGGGTATGACTTTGGGGTATACATTTTGTATCTGGCAAGTGGAGATCTCTCTGCTTTCTGATCATCATGTGAGCTGCTTCCCTCCACCACACTCTTCTGCCATGATGTTCAGCCTCACACAAGCCCTGAGGAATGGAATGGAACTGTTTGTTTATGGACTAAGACTTTGAACCCTTAAATAAACTTTCCTCCTCTACAATTGTTCTGGTCAGGTCTTTTAGTCACAGCAGTGATAAAGCTGACTAAAACAAATGTATATAGCACCCTTCCAGAATTAAAGGGCCTTTCAACAAGTATTGACCTCTCTGTGAATAACAGACAATACAAACAATAAGGGCTCATTAAATAACTATGATTTTATTTTTTACAGCATTTCTCTCTGCACCATCAAAGACAGAATGAGCTGTCATCTGTCAAAACAACATGAAAACAGGAGACTAACAATATAGATGCAAGAAAATTTACAGAGGCCTAAAATGCCTCTTTAATCAATGAACTAAAAAAAGACAGGTATGTATAACTTGTAAGGAGTCACTGTCATATTTGTAAATAATGTACTTTGGGATTCCAGATTCTGAAGTGAGAAGAATCTATAGCTTACTTGTTGAATTTATAAGCATTGATATATTTAGGAATTCCTGCTGAAAACTTATTAAAAAATTAGACAACAAGAATTGACTGTGGTTTTATGATTATATTAGATGCTCAGTAGAGTAACAGTTCCCAATAGACATTTACCATTATCAAGAATATAAAACTGGTTTACTTCCTTAGAGTTGAAAAAGGAAAGGTAACACAAAGGTAACACATGACTGCTGTAGTGAAAACAGCTAGATGTATGTCAAAATCTACTTTTTTTTCCTTGTACGACTAGCATGACTACATCTCTTGGCCTCTCTTGCTTTCAAGTGTTAACTATATTTTTTCTAATGGTATGTGAGCAGAAGTGATGTGTGCTATTGCTAGGTCTTATGCTCTCCCCTATGTTCTTGTCTCCTTCCTACAAGTTGAACCATGATGACTAGAGCAATCTTGAAAGTAAAAGATGGGGTGCCTGTTGCCAGCCTGTGTCCTATAATAGGTAAAACAATCAACTAACCTAAATACTCTCCTCCTAGGGCAGTTACACAAGTAAAATGTAAACTTTTATTATTATTACATGGATACATTATAGCATTAGCCAATTATGGTCTCAATCTTCAATGATTTTTCTAGTCCCTATGAACATAAATGTCATTTAACTGGTCTTGAGATAATCATTCAAAAATTGTTACTTTTGGTTTTTAAAAGTCAATATATATGTATATATATGTATATAGACTATCTGGGGGCTAAAAACAATAAAATCAAACTCAGGTTATCCAACAGCCAATTTTGGGAAAATTTTATAAGCAAAATATTTTTTATCAAAGATATAGAAATACAAGTGATCTCCAATAGAGTATTACTCTGCAATAAAAAATGACAAAATCATGGAATTTGCAGGGAAATGGATGGCACTAGAGCAGATTATGCTAAGTTAAGGTAGCCAATCCCTAAAAAACAAATGCCAAATGTCATCTTTGATATAAGGAGAGCAACTAAGAACAGAATAGGGAGGAAAAGCATGAGAAGATGATCACCATTAAACAGGGACAAGAGGGGGGAGGGAAAGAGAGAGAGAAGGGAAATTGCATGGTAAAGGAAGGAGACCCTCATTGTTATACAAAATTACATATAAGAGGAAGTGAAGGGAAAGGGGAAAAAAACAAGAGAAATGAATTACAGTAGATAGGTTAGAGAGAGAAGATGAGAGTAGAGGGGAGGGGAGGGGGGATAATACAAGATAGGAAAGGCAGCAGAATACAACATACACTAGTATGGCCGTATGTAAAAAAGTGGATGTGTAACCGATGTGAATCTGCAATATGTATACAGGGTAAAAATGGGAGTTCATAATCCATTTGAATCAAATGTATGAAATATGATATGTCAAGAGCTTTGTAATGTTTTGAACAACTAATAAAAAAATGGAAAAAAAAGAAATACAAAAGGTCTCAAATGCAATGTTATCAAATGACCAAAGTTCCTTAAAAGAATAAGTATCAGGATGTGATATCAATATAGCATCATACTACAGGTCAATACTGGGAAATAGGTTATGCCAACTTTTATATGACTAAATTATGTATGCTTAGTAAAGAGTTGACATTTGGTTTCTTAAAGACTTCCTACAAATAACTGCTCAATATATTCAATACCAAATGAAAACATTCATGCCATCAATAATGCAGTTTCAGATTACCAATTCAATACCAAAGCTGTTTCTGCTACTTCCCGATTCCTCCAGTTATAACAAAATGAGTGGTAATAGAATAGTGTAAAAATTTTTGCTATGTGTATTGCAAGCATTCAGTAAATACCTATTTGATAAATGAACAGCAATCTAAGGTGTGAAAAGAGTAGATGAGATAAACAAGAATATCTATGAAGGGGAACAACTATGAAACAGTGACTTTCTACAAATAATCTCCTCAAAGCAAAAGGAACAGGCAGACTATAATCTAAGGATTTTATTTTCAGAATTACATTATATTTAAAGATGATGTGTATATGGAGTTATGAAGTTAAGATCTTAACTGAAGACTTCAAGGTTAAATATCCAAGAAAGAAATTGTAAAAGAAAATGTCAGCTCACTTCACATAGGTTATCTATATCAGTTAAAAACTAAATACTTGATGTTCTAGCAGAGAAGGATAACTAGCAAATTAATCAGGGTTCAATTTATACTTCAACTATTAGTAAACCATCATTAAGGTTAGCATTCAAGAGTATGTGGTTTGTCTACCATTTCTCTAATATTGTACATAATATAAGAATCAGATATAACTAGACTCCTTTGACTTTAGTCCAAACTTTCTTATAGTTACAATTCTAACCAATGTTGTATTTGGGACAAGAAACAATTGTTCCTCATAAATAAGAGTCATATATGCATATGCACATACATGCAGCAAGCCTACACCACCAACTTGGCAGCCATTTCCTACATTTTATTTGTCCTTTCATGTTTCATTGTGTCCATTATATCACTATTTCAGTAGACTCTTAAAAAAATAATTACCACAACAGATAAGGCACTGGTATGATGGCTTAATTTTGGTAGAAAAGTCAGTCCTGAACGAACTTGGTAATCCCGGAATCCTCCAGCAACAGAAAGTGTGGTCAAGTTTATATGTCGAGCATTTAAAATCCAATAGTTGTTTACAGTCATATAAAAATCTGGTAGAGAATAAAGAAGACAGATTGAGAAAAGTAACAGTTATTCTTTTCAATTATAGTTCTAATACTAATACTTACCTTAATTTTTGCTTAAGAGATCTGGTTTGTAAACAATGTATTATTCACATTTCTCTATTTTGAGAAAAATCGGTATCTCTTTGCATTCCTGCTACCCCATTAAGTCACAGTATAAATACTGAGTTACTAATCCCCCTCAATAAAGAAAAAGACACCCAAAGTGTCAGTCTTATCCATTCGTCCATAAGCAAACATGTGGTCTTCCACAAGGATGATGCTTTCTCACAAAGTCCAACAAAGAAAGAAAACCCTAAACTTCTTCCAAAGATGAAAGCTTACTCTGCTAAATAGTTGTAAACATTTGTAGAGTTGGTTTCATGGTATCATATGTTCAAACCCATTAAATTGCACACATTAAATATGTACAGTTTTTGTATGTCAATTACCAGTAATATAAGGCTTTAAAAAGAGCAATAGACCCCTCCTTATCAAGACATTATCCCTTTTTCAAGGACTTAGCAACTTTCCTGTGGTCAATGCCTATATTGTACTATTTAAGTTCTTAGACTATAATCTATCACAACAGTACCATAGCCATTAATCTTGGGATTATGCTGCAGTGGAAAATCACAGTGTTAGGATTCTACCCTTTAAGCATAATAAGCAATTCAAAGGTCAGAATCTGCAGACAATTTTTCACTTTGTCTATGGCTGGTAAGACAATTTTAGAGTTAAAAATTACTAAACAGAGACCATGGCAGAGGAGTTTTCAATTCTTATCATCAAAACTTAATGCATTTTTACTCTGTCTTTTCATCCTACCCAGGGCTTCAAACATTTGGTACAGTAAGCTCATTAAAGACCCCAGCATTATTTACTCAGACTACCACTGGAGCCAACTCAGTCCTAACATCTGAAACACCTGGGGACAAGAGTACCAATGGGAAACACATATATCTAAATATTTTAACAATCTAGCTAACAAACTATTAAATATATTTTGTGTTCCTACCTCAACAAATATATTATTGAAATAACCTAGAAGGTCAGGGTCAAATTAAGAATTTTTAGGCATTTGAGGAGTGGACACTGTACTGTGGCAGCTCAAGAGAGCAGGTTGCTGTGCTATCTTTTCTCAGTCTTCCCAATGCAATTCCATCTTGCATTACAATGTCCTCATGTGCACATCCAACCTGTGCCTTCAAAGTTATAGTCTGGCCACATTCCAAGCTTAGTATTGTATATAACTGCCCTCAGGAGAACAAGGCTGGCTTTTACTGGGTAAAAAGGCCCACATGGGTCCTGGAAGTGGGCTTAAGGCACATTGGCCAGGAAGTCTGGATGTGTGGCTACTTAAATCATGATCTAAAAGTAAAAGAATGAGCTAAAAGGCAGTCTACTTAGACTGCAACTTTCTTACCCTGTGAAGAAGGGCAAGGCCAGAGCAAGGCCCTCTAAAATACACAACCCAGTATAGAACCTCCTTCCTTATTTAAAGATAGCATTTCCCCAGAGTATGAACAGGAAATCTAATTCTGAAACTCATATGGAATTCTCTCAAAAACTTAAAATCCACGAACTCTTGAAGTAGGTCCTTTGTTTTCTTTTTATTCTAATTGACTTAATGCAATAAAAAAAAGACATAATGAAAAGAGGCTTACTATTTACAGGAAAGGCATCTTACCCTAAGAATCACTTTCAACTGACCCTTTTACAGATAGACCTTTGCCATCCTTCATAATATTAAAACCCAACTCCAAATAAAATTAATTCTTCAAATGCTATTTTGAAATGTTTATGTTGAGTCATTCTAATTTAACCTACGTGGCTCATCTTCATACCCCATGCAAAATACAATAATAGGATTCTTAACTGTGGTGACAAGCAAAGTGACTTTTAGCCTTTGGTATTTTTTTAAACCTGTGATTATTTTATAACTGTTATAATAATAAATATTTTTAATACTAATATTTTTGTTATTAAAAATTTCTACAGGTAAGATTTTAAATGTAATACAGAAAATAGAACTTCAGAATAAGAACTATTATACCAGATTCTTTCAGCAAACAAGTTATTCCTTGACAATATTATGATATTAAGATGAATACTTTAGAAAATGACTTTGGGGATATTTCTCACTTAACTATAAACAAAAATTTTATCAAAATTAATGTAATGAAAAATTTTGATAGGTAATAAATTGTATAAATTTACTAGCCAGGAAAAAGAATTCCTTCTAAAGATTTTCTTTTACTCATATGATATTCCTACAAGCACTTAAGTCTTAACAAAAATTTCAGATAGGCATTTAATTCTTATTCTGTAACTTTTATTATCACTATTTAATTTAGATATCAAAGACTCCCATAGTTCATTCAAAATTTTCTGCAACATAACATTACCCATAGTTTTATTTCTTATGTTATAATAATGTACCTCAAGAGACAGTATACCATGCAAAATTAGGAGCACAGGCCCAGAATTAAGTTCTGCAGGGTCAAATATTGGCTCTAGTACATTCTAGCCACATAATTTTGAGTAAGAACTTTATCTTAGCCTTTTTTTTAATCCATTAACAAACATGGATAATAATGGTATTTAACTTGGAGGATGGAGAATAATGGTATTTAACTTGGAGGACTACAGAGTAAATTAGCTGTTATAATACATCAGGTAAAGTTCTTAACACAATATCCATAAATATGAGTTCAATAAATATTAGCAATTCTACTTTACTATATAAGGTCTTAGCATACCTATCTATTAAAAACTAAACATTGTTACTGCTTTAATTAAACATAAGCTTATTTTGGATGAAGTACTGGAATAGTTAAAGCATAGAAATTAACACATATCTTAAGAGACAGGAATTGTTTTCAAGAATAACTAAAGTCTAGTATCTAGGGATTATAAAACACATGTTAAACTTGTTAAGATAATATGAAAAGAGAAAACTGACAGTATTTCCACTATAAGCCTAAGCTGAAAGACATTAGGATGGTCAGAAAGGAAGATGCTGATTTGCAATTGAGCTGCTTAATACCTACATAAATCTATAGCATGCCCTAAGGAAAACAGCTACAGAGATATGCTTACTTAATCATAAACAACTATGGGAACCTCAGTTAGTGTTTATGTAATAGTACTCACCTGTAATGAAACGATCTAATGGCATAACAGGAGCAACATGAGGTGTGGCTTGTGTAATGAGAAGATTTATCAGATCTTGTTTAAAATTTTTCAGAGTAAGTAATGCTCTTGCAACAAGTCCACCCATAGAATGACCAATTATTGCCACACTTTTTGGAGCAAATTCTTGACCCTATGAAAAAAATCACCATGGCATAATTAAGGCTTAGTGTCATAATAAGAATACTAAAAAAATCTTTTTAGTATTATTGCAAATGGACAACTTAATAGAAAATTAAACTATATAATTACCCATCATAAGAAATACATTTTCATGTTGTTCCAATTAATATATGCATACTATTATGTGCTCTGCCATTTTTAACTATTAATCTTTGGTTTTCTGATCAAAATCCAAACACTTGATCTTGCAAATCAAATTGTTATGTTGCATGTAACCTGAGGTATAATTATACCTGGTGTCTACCAGAATGTTTGATTGTACAAGGTAAAAGAAATCGGTTATCTGAAATTAAAAATATCACAAAAGCCAAGACAACTGTTGCCGTCATAGCAATATACTATTTCATCACGTCAGTAAATTTTATTGAATTATTTCTCTATAGTGTTTGGATTTAAAAATAAATCAGCATTCCCAACATTTATTTACTATGTAAAGTTAAAATATGTATTGCTTTTTTAAAAAAATCTTGTTTGCTAGCTATTCCACACTGATCCTTCTTATAAGCTTTCTCTTCTGTTACTTGTACAGAAAAGAGTTTTAACACTGTAGGTCTGACACTGCTATCCTTAGAACAGTCTGCATGAAAGGATGGCTCTTAGCAGGAGTCCGGGATCTTATATTTTAGGAGGGTTCCTGCCATTCTCTAAATGAAAAGAATGGTTCACTGTACTTAAACAATATGGTTTATGTTGAACCCCTGCTGTCTTCCAGGCTGAAATTTTGGTATGTGCAAGGCAGCAAATATCTATGTGATTGACCTCCCAATAAAAATCTTGGACACAGAATCTAATGGGCTTACCTCGTAGGCAGTTCTTCATAAGTCACAATTTATTGCTATATGAATTAAATGAAAAATGTGACAGAACTTTTGGACTCTTGTACTTGGTTTCCTCCAGATTCTACCCCCATGCACCTTTTCTCTTCAGTGATTTTGCTTTGTGTCCTTTCACCTAATAATTAATAACCAAGAGTACAATTTTATGCCAAATCCTGTGATTCTTCCTAGCGAATAATCAAACCTGGGATCATCTTGGAGATCCTCAACACGGAGTTAACTTAGCCAAAACCAAATTCTATTTTTGTATCTGAAGCTTATCAATCCTTTGGCCTTCTCTCAAGAACAATTTTCAACTTCCATATACTTTTAAATCCATTCTAATCAAGCATTCACCCCAAAACGCCACCAAAACTGCTCTTGCTAAGTCACCAATGAATCTAATGGTCAATTCTTAATGCTCATCTTATTTGACTTATCAACAACATTTGACAAAATTCGCCACTTTGGTTTACTTAACAACACTCTCCTCATTCTCATCTTCCCTCACTGTGTTTCCTTTTTAGTCTGTTGCTGATTTGTTTTCATTTCATCTCTTGAAACTGGAGTGACTCAGGTCTCAGTCCTTTAGACTCTCCTTTTTTAAAATCAATATTGACTCCATCAGTGACCTTAGTCAGTCTCACCCCATCTTTATACTATCAACCCCCATGTATTATATCCAAACTGAACCTCTTCTCTCTAACTCTTAGCCTTGGTCTACAATAGTACAAAAGGTATTCTTGAAATGTCTAATGTGCATCTTAAATGCAAACCTGTCTAAAACTGAACTCCTAATCTCCATATCTGTTCTCCTATGTCTTCCCCACCTCAGTTAATGGCAATTCAATCCCTTTAGTTGTTCAGCCAAAAACCTTGGGGCCATCCTTAACTCTTTTCCTTTTATACAGGCCCACCATACCTGATCTACCAGTAAATCTTGTTGCCTCAACCTTCAACATTTACATCAGTCTGATCATTTCTCACCACTTCAACTGCTAACAACTTGATTTCAACCACTATTATTTCTTTCCTGCATTACTCCAAAAGTCTCCTAACTGGTCTCTGTTTCTACCCTTATGTTCCTTCAGATAATTCTCAAACAGCCAAAATGATACTGTTAAAACTTTAATAAGAGCATGCCCTTCCCCTACTTGAAAAGCTCTTTAGTGGCTTTGCATTTTCTTACAAACAAAAAGCGAAAATCCTTAAATTGCCTATGTCTCTACAATCTGTCTGTTCCCCTCTCCAATTTCTACCAACTCACATGATCTGTTCCAGCTACTCCAGTTTGTTTTTCCTTAAAGAAAGCATGTGTATGCCTGCCCATATAATTGTTTCCTCTGTGTAAAGTATTTCCTCCCCCTTATATATTCAAACAGGCCACTCCATCATGTATTTGGTATGAATTAAACTGTCTAGTTCTCAAGAGGTCTTCCATTTATAATTTTAATCCTCTGCCTTTGATTACTTACATCCTTTTCCTGTTTTAATTTTCTCCCTGACATTTATAACCATATAAGATTGTATGTTTTCTTATCTATTATGTTTATTATTTACTTTTCCCCACTAAAACGTAAGTGCCACAAAGACTTGAAGTCTGGTTTCATTCTCTGCTATATTTACTTATGGCCTCATGTGATAAATGAGGTTTTCTTCACCTAGAATGTTCTCCCCCTTTCTCATACCCAAATCCTATTCATTAAGATTCAGATGTTCTCTAACTCCTATTGTACTTTCTTATAACTGGAACCCTACTTTCTAAAAATCTCAATGTGAAAAATAGATTATTAGTTCTATTATAAACAACATGTAGTCATTAGAAAAATACTGAAACATAAACAGAGAAAGAAAAATACTATAAGTATATAGCAAAGGTTTCTTACTGTTTATTGTAAATGACAGTTATTATTTCATTTTGTGATCACATCTTATTTATCTTATCCATTAAATGTTATGTAAAGGCCTGTACCTAATATAACCTGTTTCCTCCCATAACACTCATGATTACACAGGTTGACAAATTTTGCTTCTATTACAACTGTGCTGAGTTTTGTGGGATTTTTTAAAATTATATTTAATCTTCTATTTTCATAAGCTCCCCTCCCACTTTTTAAATATTCTTCTCCTTACCCCAGCTTCTGCTTTATGACAGAAAACATTTGACCCCTGACTTTAAGCCTGGTTTACTTCACTTAGCATGATATTCTCCAATTCCACCCATTTATCCATAAATGAGGATTAAATTCTTTTTTAAAAAAAATTTTATTGCTTCTTTTTAGTTATACGTGACAGTATAATTTGTTTTGATATAATTGTACAAGCATGGAATATAGCATATTCTAATTAGGACCCCATTCTTATGGATGCACATGATGGTCGGATTCATGATGGTATATTCATATATGGATATAGGAAGATTATTTTGGATTCATTCCACTGTCTTTCTTTTTCCTGTTCCCTCTCCCTTCCCTTTATTCCCCTTTGTCTAATCTACAGAATATCTATTCTTCTTCTCTCCCCGCTTATTATGGTTAGTGTCCATGTTTCAGCAAAAACATTTGACTTTTGTTTTTTAGTACTGAATTATTTCATTTAGCGTGATAATGGTGTACATTCCAGGTCTATCCACTTACTTGCAAATGTCAAAAAGTCATTCTTTATGGCAATTTCATCCTTTACAGATGATTAAAACTCTACTGTGCATATATTACACTTAATTTAACCATTCATCTGTTGATGGACAATTAGGTTGATTCCATAAGTTGGCTTTTATGAATTTTGCTACTATAGATATTGGTATGCATATGTTAATATAGTATGCTGATTTTAGAACTTCTAGAAAAGATCAAGGAGTGGGATAGCTAGGTCATATGGTGGTTCCATTCCTCGTCTTTTGAGGAATCTCTATACTGTTTTCTAAATCAGTTGTAATAATTTGCATTCCTAACAATGTAATTCCTCACCATCAATTATTCTTCATATTCTTAATTCTCATTCTAACTGGAGTGAGGTAAAATCTCAGTGTATTTTTTTATTTGCATTTCCCTGATTGTTAAGGATGTTGAACATTTTTCCATGTTCCCATCTGTATTTCTTCTTTTGAGAATGTATACTTAGATCTTTTGCCCATTTATTAATGAGATTATTTCTTTGGTGTTAAGTTTTCAAATTCTTTATATATTCTGTATATTAATCCCCTGATGGAACAGTAGCTGGTAAAGAAGTTCTGTCATTCTGTAGGCTCTCTCCTCCTTTTCCATGTGAAAGGTTTTAATTCAATGACACCCCAATTATTGATTCTTGATTTTATTTTTTGAGCTTTGGGAATCTTACTAAAGAAGTTAGTTCCTGTACCAATATGCTAAAGTGTTGCCTTTATGTTTTCTTAAAGGAGTTCCAGTGTTTCTGGTCTAACTCCTAGGTCTTTGATGGACCTTTGAGTTGATTTTTTGCAAGATGAGAGACAAGAGTCTGCATATGATATCTAGTTTCCCCAGCACCATTTGTTAAAATGGCTATCTTTTCCAACATGTGTTTTTGGCACCTTTGTCAAAGATCAGATTATTTTATGTGTATTTGTCTCTGTGGTGGTCTTCATATCTGCTTTTAAGTCAGTACCATGCTGCTTTTGTTTTATTTTTGTAGTACAATTTAAGATCAAGTATTTTAATGCCCCCATCATTGCTCTTATTGCTCAGCATTGCTTTGACTATGCTGGGTTCTTTATTTTGCCATATGCACTTTAAGACTACTTTTTCTACTTCTGTGAAGAATGTCACTGATATTTTGGTAGGAATTGCATAGAATCTGTAGATTGTTTTTTTTAATACAGTCATTTTGGCAATATTAAATCTTCCTAGCTATGAAGAAGGGAAGTCTTTACATCTTCCAAAGTCTTTTTAAATTTCTTTCATTTTCTTAGTTGGATTTATTCTCAAATATTTTATTTTTGAGGCTACTATGAACAGAATATTTTTTTAAAATTTCTCAGCAGATTCATTATTGGAGTACAGGAAACCTATTGATTTTTGTATGTGGATCCTATGTTCTGCAACTTTGTTCAATTTGTTTATCAGATCTAGAAGTCTTCTGGTAGAGTATTTTTGGGTCTTCTAAGTATATGAGCAACAGAGGTAGTTTGACTTCTTCTTTCTCTATTTGTATCCCTTTATTTCTTTCTCTTGCCTAAGAGATCTGGCTAGAGATTCAAGAACCATATTGATTAGGAGTGAAGAGAATGGACATACTTTACTTGTATTGTTCCTGGTTTCAGAAGAAATGCTTTCAGTTTTTCTCTGTTAAGTTTGATGTTGGCTTTGGGTTTGTCAGACAGAGCCTTTATGATGTTGAGGTAAGTTCCTTCTATCCCTAGTTTCTTTTGTTTTTAACATGAATGGATGCTGGGTTTTTGTTGAAGGTTTTTTCTGCATCTATTAAGACATTCGTGTAACTTTTATCCTTGATTCTATTTATGTGATAAATTGTACTTGTTGATTTATACGTTGAGCCAACCTTGTAGCCCTGGGATAAATCCAAGTTGATCATGGTGTACAATCTTCTTAATGTGTTTTTAAAGGCAGATTGCTATTAAGAATTTTTGTGTCTATGTTCATCAGGGATAATGGTCTGTAGTTTCACTTTGTTGATATGTCTTTATTTAGGATCAGAGTGATACTGGCTTTAGAGCATGAATTTGGAAATGTTCCCTCCCTTTCTATTTCATGGAATAATTTGATAAAGACTGGCATTAGTTCTTCTTTAAAGGTCTGGTAGAATTTAACTGAGACTCCGTCTGGTCCTGAGTTTTTCTTTGTTGGAAGGCTTTTTGTTGTTATTACTACTTTAATCTTGTTGCTTGATATTGGTCTGTTTAGGTTCTCTATATCCTCTTGTTTCAATGATTAGGTTATATCTACAAAGTTGTTAATATCTTCCAGATTTTCCAATTTATTGAAATGTAAGTTTTCAAAAATAATCCCTAATGGTTCCCTGGATTTCAGATATATCTGTTTTGTATCTATCAGTTCTAAAAGAGTTGGTTGTTTGTTTTTTGTTTTTTTTTTTGTTTTTGCTTTGGTTTTTGTTTTTAGAGTTTTGTAAATTAAGATCAAGTCATTTGCAAACAGAGTTTTACTTCTTCCTTTCTGATTTGGATGACTCTTATTTCTTTTTCTTAGATAACTGCTCTGCTTAGGACTTCCATACTATGTTGATTACAAGTGGAATGAGTGGATAACTTTCCCTTGTTTCTGATCTTAGGGGAAAAGCTTTCAGACTTACTGACCATTGAATATGATATTGAACTGATTATTTCCAATGGTCTATTATGTTTCTCCATTTGCTCTTTAAGCATTATCTTTCTTTTCTCTAGAAATTACACTATTCAAACTTAACATGAATTAGCATAAATTAATATTTCGCCATTCTTTCCACAAGAATCTTGCAGTGAAATACTTCTATTTACTTCCATCTTTTTCACAATTATTATCAAATATTTTTTCTTCTAAATAAGTTATAAACTTCATAAAACAGGGGATGGGTTTTGTAGCTCAGAGGTACATCCCTTGCCTAACATGCACAAGGCCCTGAGATTGATCTGTAGTACTATAAAAGCAAATGCCTCAGACATCTTTTTTTCTTTTTGCTAAAATGAATGATTTCTTTAATCTTTTTGATTCAAGTAAGAAAAATTGCAAAAAGAAAAAAGGATGAAGGTTCCCATATATCCTTTACCCTAATATTAACATTTTACATAACCACAATTATCCAAATCAGAAAAATAACACTAGCGTAAAAGTATTAACTAAACTGTAGACCTATTTTAAATCTCACCAGTTTTTACACTAATGTGCTTTTTTTCAGTACTTTATCCAGCATAACAACATGCATTTATTTCTTAGTCTTCTCCAATCTGTGATAGTTCTTCAGTCTTTCTTTTCTTCTTTTTTTTAGTAAATGACCCTGATATATTTGAAGAGTATAGGCTTTTTTTTTCAGCCTGTCTTTCAATTAGGTTTATCTGAAGTTTTCTCTTAATTAAAATGAGGTTGTTTGTTTTTGGCAATAATGCCACAGAAATAAAGATGTATCCTTTTCACTATATCAGGTCAGGGGGATTTCTGATGTTGATATATCACGTCACTGGTATGTTAATCTTGGTCAAGATAATCTCCATCAGGTGTCTCCACTATAGTTATTCTTTCCCTTTGTAACAAATAATAAATATTATAGAAATGAAACTTTGAGATTATGTGAATATTCTTTTTCTTCTCAAACTCTCACCCACTAACTGTAGCATCCATTTGTTGATCTTGTCTGGGTTGTTCTCCTAATGATTTAAATTTTCTTCTTTCCTTCTACTGGTGACAAAACTACTCTAACACCTTTATTTTGCCCTCATTTCGGAAGGACATTTTTGTTGAATATGCAACTTTAGGTTGAAAGACCTCTTTCTCTAAGACCTTTACGATATTATTGTATTGTTTTTGGTTTTCATTACTTCTCATGAGAAACCAGTGGTTAATTTACTGTCTTTCCCTACAAGTAAAGAATTTTTCTTTAGCTGCTTTTAAGATTTTTCTCTTTACTTTGCTTTACAGCAATTTGACTAAGGTGTGATTTTCTTGTGTTTACCATGTTTGACATTCAGTAAACCTTCTTGGGTCTGGTGTCCATTAGTTATTCAAGTACTTTTTCTTCCCGTATTTCCATCTCCTCTTCTGGAGCTTCAAATAGAGATGTATTAGGCTTTTCAGTATTGTCTCATAGTTCCTGGGTCTGTCCTTTTCATCCTTTTAGCATCTGTGCTTAAGTCTGTTTAGATTTTACTGACCTGTGTTCAAATCCAGAGACCTTTTCTTCTGTAATACTAAAAATCTCATTTAAACCCATCAAGTGATTTTTCAATTCTGGTATGCTTTTGTTTCAGTTCTAGATTTTTCTTGTTGTTTGTAGTTTCCATATCTCTCAGATGCCCTTTCTACTCTCATATTATGTCTATATTCTATTTTAAATCCTTACCTTTATTTGATATTTTTAAGATGTGTATTTAAACATTGTTAAGGTGAATACTAAAGTAGCTATTTCTTTAGAGCTAGGAGAGTCCATTCTAAATTGTGTCATGTATGGGGTCTCTGAATGCCTACTATGTTCAGATAGGTCCTTCCTCTTTAGTTAGTTGGAATGCCTGTTTCCTGGCACCATGCTCCTCTTGAAATCTCAATTCTGCTTATAACTCCACAGAAGCTATTGTCTCTAGGATTTGCACAGTGATGCGCCAAGGAAGGTAGTTGTATTTCATTCCTGACATTGTTTGGTTGCTGGCACAGAATAATTGCCAATGTGTTTTACTACTCTTTTAAATTTCTTTAAAGACAAATAGTCCCTCATATTTATTACACACAGGTAGACACACTGTATCACTTTCTCCTTGGTTTGCCATTGCCTTGCAGTTTCTTGCCCTGTGTATATGCAATATGGCATTCAAGATTGAAAGAATGTAAATTTTTTCTTTGCTTCCTTCCCTTCTTTCTCATACTCTGTCCCACAGAGCCAACTCAGCAGTCCCAAATCCCAATTTTCTGCCTTCTTATTGATATTAATATGCTCTGCTTAATCCCTACCTACTTGCCCCATGTCCAGAAAATATTTCTAGATAGAAAGCCAGGGAGATTAAGGAACTCACTTATTTTAGAGATGATAGTCCTTTGCTGCTTGGTTGGTTAACACCTCAAAACAGGTGCTTCAAATATCCGGATCAGTTTCACAACTGTTTACATATGCAGAGAGTCTACTCTAGTACCACTTACTTAGTCATGGCTAGACTCAGAAATAATTTTTTTTAATATTTATTATTTTTTTGTAGTTAGACACAATACCTTTATTTTAATGTGGTGCTGAGGATCTAACCCAGAGCCTCACACATGCTAGTCGAGCACTCTAACACTGAGCCACAACCACAGCCCCTAGACTCAGAAATTCTTTTACCAATATTTTACCAATGGTTTTTAGTAATTGCATTGTACTCCTAAATTTTTTATATTTAAAGTTCTAAAAAACTACTTTTTTCTGTATTCATGAAAAGAAAGGTAAATTCAATTTAAACTTTAAAACCTCCACTAAGGTCAAGACAACAGACTCTAAAACAAAACCATGCCATCTTTGTCTCAACATCCATAGAAACAAATACATGATTTAAAATATAAAAGATGCTCATAGTTCACACTAATACAGATCTGAATGTTTATCTTTTACCTTGTAAAGTTTGAGAATTGTTTTAATACATTCATGCACAAACTTGGTCTGCTTCTGAAGACTTCCCCCATACAATGCCACCAGTTCTTCATTGAAATTCACACTAAAGAAGTCAAAGTGGTACTTAAAGTCAATGTCTTCTGCTTTTCTAAGTGCAATAGAGCCAATAGAACGAACTGCAAAGGAAAAGAATAAAGTGTACATTAAACAAACTTTCATCCATTCTTGCTTCAAAATCTCTAACAAAGAAACCTTATAAATACATACAACTATTTTGGGGTAATACCCATTGATAGTACCAATTTAGTAGAAGAAACTAACCTAGCAGCTATATACCTTTAACAAACTCAGTATGCCCTAAATATTTTATAAATTAAACAAAAAGTGGACAGGTCACTCTGTACTTGCTTTCCCTTCAACAGGAGCAATAATAGCTGAAAGGGGAAGGATCCTTTGAAGAATAAAAAACAGAATTTTATCACACTTAATGAGAATTGTAAGAATAAGAAAATTCCTATAAGAAATGCTTGTCTACCTTTTGATTTAGAATATTCATTCATGATTTGTCTCTTTCTCTTAATCCTGACATCAAATCACCTGCAAGCTCTACTATGCTCTATCTTCTAAATATGTTCCCAGGTGAGGCTTCTCACCATTTCTACCACTATCATCCTAATCCAAGTACAATCACCTGCACTGCTCTAACAATCTCCTAAATGGTCTCTCTACTTCTACTCCTTTTGTTTCGTTGCTTTTTATAAGACCTCGCACAAAATTTATTATTGATTACTTTAAGGGGTATAAAAATTGAAGTATATGGTTTAGAAAACAAAATACCTGTTTGCCATTCCATGTTTTAGTATACATATACTATAATTCACATATTACACCACTCACCATGTAAAAATCACTGGGTTTTAAAATATGAAATATTTAGTACCTCTTACATATATTGTACAACCACCTCTGAAATCTAATGTTAGATATTTTTAATTACCTCAAGAACAAAATCCTGAGATCATTAATAGTCACTCCCATTCTGCTATGCATTCCATTCCCTGGTAAACACTAATCTACTTTCTGTCTCCATGAATTTGCCTACTCTGCATATTTCATATAAATGGGATGATTGAATAATATATGATCTTTTGTGACTAGATTTTTTACTTCTCTTGATGTTTTAAGGTTCACCCACAATAAATCATGTATCACTCCCACCTTTAGACTACTATGTATAGTACCATCATGAATACCCGTACGCAAGTTTTTGTGTGAATGTATATTTTCATTTTTCTTGGGTAGACACCTAGGAGTAGGATTGTTGGATCATATGAGAGCTCTATATTTTATATTCTGGAGAACTGCCAAACTGTTTTCCAAAGTGGATGTGCCATTTTATATTACCACCAGCAATGCAGAAGGGTTCCAATTTCTCTACATCTTTGCCAACACTTTTTATCTACCTTTTTGATTATAGCTATCCTAATAGGTAAGATTTTGATTTGCATTTATCTGATGACTAATAAGGTTTAGTATCTTTTCTGCTTCTACTCATGCTTAAATAGCATATTTCTTTGCAGCAAAACCAGAGTGATCATTTTTTAAAAGTAAGTTATACCTACCAGATTTATCAAAATTTTTAAATCTGACAATTTCAATATTATCAGGCTGTGGAGCAAAAGTAAGTATAATGTGCTAATTGTGAGAATGCACGTTAGCATAAAATAAAATAAGAAGGTATACATAACTTGCAACATGGAATTAACACTCTTTAAGTATCTGTCTTTTAAAAATACAGGTTTAAGAGCTTCAAGATACATGCAAAAGAATACACATTATTTGGATACTATAGACTAAAAAAAAGTGAACAGATCATTGCTCACCCAATAACTTGGGTGAATCTTATGCTGAATAAAAGAAGCCAGAAACAAAAGCATATATACAGAATGAATATATATTACAAAGGTTAGCAGCCCCAAATAGGTACATATTAGGGATAAATATTTGGGTATTAAAACCTTAAATAAAGTTAAAAAAAAATTATTATCCTAAAGTTAGGACTGTGATTCTGTCTGGAAAGAGGGGATGGATTTTTAAATCATAACAAGCACACAGGTCATTTCCAGTATGCTGGCAATTTTCTAGATAAGACCTGGGTTTTGGCTTCATAGATGTTCACTTTGTAATAATTTTAAACAAAAATATAATAAATATATTTTATATATTTCTCATATGTTATAGTAATATTTCAAACATAATAATTATAAAAAAATCAGATTATATAATTTCTTATCCAACACTCTCCAAGTTTCCTACCTCCCTCACATAAAATTTCAATGTCTTTTCCACAGCTTATATAACAAGTGGATACTTTTCCATTCTCATCTCTATTCACTTTTCTCTACTCACAGTGCCCCGGAATATGCCAAACATATTCCTGCTTCAGGAGCTTCCCCCAAATAGTCACCTGCAATTATTCGCTACATTCAAGGCTCTGCTCAAATGTCATATCCTCACCAGGCCCTTCTTGATCACCTCATCTAAACTAGTCACCTTCTGACCCTGATTATCCTATATCTTCTTCACTGTTTTATTTTTCTTTCTAGTTTTTAACATTACTGATAGGTTTATTTGATGACTGTTTTCCCAACAAGAATATGTGTTTGGTGGAGGAGGGACTTTATTTGATTTTGGTTTGCTCTGGATCCCTAATACTGTCTGGCTTATAATAAGTATCCCATAAATATTTGTTAGATGAATAAACACCTAAGTAATTGTAGTACATGTTGAAACAAATCTAGTCTCATTATATTACAATTCTAGTCCATTTAATATCCAAGAAAGCAGATTTCACTTGAGAACAAAATTATTTGCAGATTTGCAGAGTTGGCTGTTATGCCAGAATTTATTGCCATTCCCCTAGACTTTAATGAATTTGGAATCTGCACATATAACTTCCCTATCTTCACCTTTCTGCATTATCCTCAGTACTTCCAGGTCTCTATATCTCCAAAAGAAAAAAACCAATCTCCTCTCTTGTTTGATATAATATAAATTAATGATTTGCCTCTCTAATCAATGCTTTAGGTCCTATTCCCTTATCATCCATTTCCAACATAAAGCTTTCTTCTGTTGATTCCTGATTATCTATACAATTTATTTCATTTCACTCCATCTCCTTCTTTTTCTCCTTCTCACTCTGTAAAGTAGTCTTCCAACTCTTCTTTTCCAGTTCTCACATGTGTTCTCTCTCACTGGTATCATATTTGGGTATTCCAGTAATCCTAACACAATACTTACTAGAGTAAGCATTTCATTCATTTCATTTGATTCACTGACATGTGTACAATGTGAATTCTTTAATGAAGATTTTTAAAAAAAAACATTTTTAGTGGTTCTAGGGATGGCCAAGAACACTCTATCACTGAGTTAGGCCTCTAGCCTTTTTTATATTTTTTATTTTCAGTCAAGGTCCCGGTCCCGCTAAGCTGCCCAAGCTGGCCTCAACCTTGGTGATTCTTCTGTCTCAGCCTCCTGAGTAGTTGGGATTATAGGCATGTGTCACTATGCCTGGCTTTCCTGAATTTTATAGCTTTCAAAATTTATTTCCAGTACTTACCTTGCTTGTAACTTCCAGCATTACCAGGAAGAAAGAGAACTGGAATTCCTGTCAAAGGGAGAATTTTGTGTTCTTCAGCATAGGATCCTTCTCCATAAAGATATAACTCATATGCTGGATAGCGTTTTGCCAATTTCTTTGGAAGTTCTATTTTCTGTAGCAAAAGAATTATGTAAATAAAGCAGGTTCACTTATTAGTTTTATTAACACTATCAGACTCATATGTATTTCTGAATTATACAACTTTAGAATAGTGCAAAAATATATTAAACCACACTTCATGCAGAAAACAAGACCCAGTTACAGTTTATACGTATAAAAAAAGACTCATTTCTTTAGTTATATTAACTTGGAATCAAGTTGTCTTCAGAAAAGAATAAAAATGGGATTACCTGAAATTCTAATAAATACATATGGGTCAAAGAGCCTATGATAATGGCAGAAAAGCACTGGTATATGTCAGCAAGTTACATGTTAACATAATTGGAAATGCATTTAATTTAGAAACAGTACTAATTTTACTTAAAAATGATAAAAGCTTTCCATTACAAAATCAATCATTTTTGCCATTTAAACTGATCTGTAATGTTTCTACTTTCACTCAAGCCCAACTATATATTCCAGCTGTTACATCTTTAAAGGAAAGTAAGTTAGATTTACAGTGCAGTTTTCTGACCTCTCAACTTAATACACTTAACAAATACAACATGCTTACCAAATTAATCTGAACTTTTATCACCACATCTTGGTCAAGATGTGTACACTGTTCTTATCATAAACATTCCAGTGAATTAGCATTTGTTTCATTTTTCATGGACCAGGTGCATTGTTTCTCAGCAAACCTTAAATCTACTCTGCAATTCATGTTATTATATACAAAATAAGGCAGAAATTAACATTAAATTGTTGTTGTTGTTGTTGTTGTTTGGTGGTACTGGGGATTGGACCTAGGGGTTCTCTACCATTGAGCTACATTCCAACTCCTTTTTATTTTGAGACAGGGTCTCATTAAGTTGCTTAGGACCTCATGAGGCTGGCCTCCAATTTATGATTCTTCTGTCTTAGCCTCTCAAGTTGCTGGGATTACATGTATGTATCACTGAGCCTGGCTACTTTTTTACAATGTAATATAAATTAAGTCTTGTCATCCCCAAAGGGTAGACTTCTATAAAAGAGGCAAAGTATAAACTCTCCTCTATGTACACTGGATGAAATATTTAAGTAGATATCAAAAGATTAATGATCTAGTAATGCTATACATATGTGTTTGATGAAAAATTTTTACTATGTGAATTCAAAAACCATAAACAATTGTTAATGACTACTGAAAAACCTCATTCTTCAAAAAAACTCACTCTGATCATTCATGCATATTCCTGAATATTTCTTTGCAGATATTACCTTCCATAAACAATCTGTACCAATTATATCATGGAAACATCTAGTAGAGACTAGAAACAATAGTAGAGACTATTTTTTGTTTAAGAAATTAGTATCCTTAGTTATCTCCCCATGTACTCAAAATACAGAAATATTAACTCCACTGTTTGTTTCATAAGCATATGGATACTTCAATTCAAATTAGTTCCAATATTGATTATGTACAATATATAATCAAAAGTGAAAAAGATACATTTTATCTTTTTAGGTACATATCAAACAAAAGGAAACCCTTAAGAGAAAAAAAAATATTTTTAACTCCTCCCAAATAAGAACAAAATTTGATATAGCAGTACATGCATATTAGATCATTTTTCTTTTTAGTAGCTAAACAAAGTTCTGAACTAGTTGAAAAATTAACTCAGAAGAATAGAAACTATCAAATATATTTTTAAACAAATATTTAATTTCCTATATAGAGAAAAGCAAGCAAACAATATATTTTGTATATTTCATAATACACTATTATGAAAGCAATTTTGAAGTGAGAAAGAACATTCCTAAAACAAAGCAATGCAGGGGTAGGCCTTTGCCTACCAGCATGCATAAGGCCATGGGTTCAATCCCCAGAATTGGGAAAAAAAAAAAATCACATGCAGGGGAAAGTAGAACAAAAACAGAGGCAAGAATGGTGGGAGTTGGAGGAAAATGGAAAATGGCAAAACTACATTTTCAGATAGTTCAAGATGGAAGTGAGTGGCAGGAAGAAGGAAAGGTAACGAAATAGTTTAACAGAAAAGGTATAGGTATACAAAACTGGTGTTGATGAGAAAACTAAGAGGGTCAATGAGTTATGAAAGAAATATATCAGTAGGACTCTAATATAAACTGTTTTATGTAGATCATCAAAAATGAGCAAACAGTCACTCCAAAAAAGAACTTTAAGATCAATTACCTTTATACTTAAATATTATCTCTACCATCCTGCCCCTGGTTGGGGCTGTTTGTCCTTTTCATCTATAACTTAATCCTCTTTCAAAAGACAAAAATTTAACAAACTCCCAATTCTAACAAACTCCCAAGAACTAGAAAAATGATGATTTAAGAAACTAAAATTCTTATATGAATATACAAATTGATAGGATATGTATCTTATAATTGTGAATAAAAACTGCAAAAGAAGTTTGATCTTCATAATTTAAAAAAGAAAAGAAAAAATTATCAAAATAAACACACTTATAAAGTTCTTAAAAAGGGTTCTAAGCCTTTTGTTCATGCTACCCCAGAAAAGTCCTTTGTGGAGGGAATGGAGAGAAGAAACACATCAAGGACAACTCTTTCAGACTGGCCTCTTCCTTTCACAATCTTCCTACTACAATCTAAAGTCCACACTGCTTTCAAGAAATACCTCACTAAAACATACATCTTATGTATTTTCTCACTGTACATAAAAATAATGAAGACTCAAAGAGATCTTCAAATGGTTTTAACTATTTTCACCCATTTTTTCATAATTTACCATGTTTTAAAATTTATTTTTAATACATTTTTAAAAATCAAGATTCAAAGATATACACTGAAGAGGATTTCTACTACCCTTGGTCCTTCAGCCATTCAATTACCTTCCTCAGAAGGCAACCAATGTTAACTGTATGTTTGTGTTTCTAGAAATATTTTACATATAGCAGTAAATATATTTAAAGATTATTTCCTCCTTTTTACATAAATGATAATATATTATAAATACCACTCATGCCACATGTCCTGGTGTCCTCTTTCATTCATATATGCTATATAAGTCTGCAATTTTATTTCTGCACTTCATGAACTACACTTCCCACATGCCAAATTCACTACATCTTCTTTAAAACCTCTGAATACCCAAGACAAACTTAGATGTTTTCCCTTCTTGGAAGAGTCCTGTCAAACTGCCTATAGTGAAATTATGACGCCACATTATATTGTAACTATATATTACATTCCTGTCCCCTCATTGTATTATAAAGATATAAGTTAAAGGCACAAGGACTGATTCTGACTAATTCCCTCTCAGACTAAGTATTTAGATATACCTGGAACACAGTAATCATTCAATAAATGACTTGCTAAACAAACATCATACTTAATAACAAAATATGACTCAGATTTCAATATCAACATTTCCTTTCTGAGAGCAACCACTGTGTCATATATGGAGAGAATCAAACAAATTAATCTATAAGAGAAAACAAGTAATTTCTTCACAAATTTTACAATCTACTTAAAAGCATGGCTATCAATTGTTTTGCCTTGCTATCATCAAGAAACTTTAAAGGATAATGTTATTTAAAGGATATCTGGCAGACTTAAGATATGTTCATGAAACGTTCAGTTAACTCTGACAAAATAAATCTAGGAAAATAGGTAGAGGATGAACAGAAATTAACAAATTTAAATTCAAAACTTCATTTTTGCAGTTTCAAACTCCTGTTCCACCTTAAAAAAAAAAAGGACAATAAATTTAAATGTTTCAACTACCTTTCTATTTCTTCTGCTGGATGACAGAAGAAGATGCAAATGAGCAGTAAAAAAAAAATGTCATAAAGGAAGAGAAGAAAACCCATAGACTAGGACAACCCACGTGTGGATATCAACATGAGAACAATAAGAAAGCTAGATAAAATTATAATTTAAAATCAGGCAATATTTAAAACGTTTTAAAAACATTATTATTTATATAAAAACCATTTGGTTCTTAAGAGAATAACTTCACTTATCTAAAAATCTCACCATATTCAAAATATCTCATTTCTACAGACAGGTTTTAATTGTATTTGCAAAATAACATAACTGGTGTGCAAAAATAAGAGAGTCAAACATAAATACTATAGTGAATTAACACAGCCTTTGCAGCCTAAAGGTAAAATTTCTAAAAATGTATATCAAAAACTCCTGCCATTATATATTACCATATTAACAAACTGACAAAAGTATATAACCCCCAAAGGTAATTTGAACCAAAACAACTAAATACAGACTACTCACAGCAACAACAAAGCCAAATAGCTCTTCTGCATTAGCTATACTCATTTTCTCTTTCCAGTCAATTTCCTGAGACAGAAAATTTATCTGTAAGGTCTGTATGCTTTGTTCCAAATAGGAATTCCTATGATGGCAAATATTAAAATAGCTTCAATAACTGTGGGCAATCTGAGTAAATGGAATTAGTACAGTTGTTCCAAGATGATTTTATTTTAACCAAAGTCTTCAACGTATAACAAAACTAAAGTGACTACTTCATTCTACTGGGAGTTCTCTAATTATTAAACCACAGGCAATGAAAGGGGATTATAATAAGCTCTACTTCCAGTTTAAAAAAACTAAACTAAAAGCCCATGCATTTCACTATTAGACCCTGATAACCATAAGCCAGCATATTCCAGTTTATTTGCTTAGAAATTAACAATGTCCAGTAACATATTAAAATCTCCTTCAATAGCATCAGAAATCCAGTGTTCCATAACTATTTGTGCAAAACCAAGGTAAGGATCTCAAAACAAATAAAACCTAAACTTACTAGAATTTTGCCTATGTGGAAAAGTGTGTTCTTCAGCAATTTAAATCTTAAGTTTTAAGACTGAAAATAACAGCAATGCAATCAAATACTAAACTCCCTCCATAATGATCTACACACAGAAACGATCCCATCTTGCATTCTTCATCACTCTAAAGAAAAAATCTGCTATGATTTTAAAAGCATACTAAAAATGTACATTATCAATATGTATTATAGTACATATACATTTTATAGGAGTTGTTATATAGGTATTCCATTTAGAAATAAAAGAATCGCTCGGGAGAAATTTCTTTGGACAGCTGTGTAATTTGTCATCTTTTCTTTTTACAGCTGGTCATGAATGAAATTCTAGATTCTACTATGCCCAACTAATGAAGCGACTGACTGAAAACATTTAAAATGGAACAGATGAGATGGGGGGCGGTGACTGAAGGGCCGAGTCTCTCTTAAATTGCGAACACAGGTGAAAACACAAAATAATACCATGAATAGATTTTTCATGCAACTGGTAAGAAAGCCTGGCTGCTTGGCAATAAGCATGAAAACAGGTGTGCAGAAGCACGCACCTACACCCAACCTACAGAACAGGTGGATCTGCAAAAATCGCTACAGGAGGGAAACGGAGGAGTTTCCAGTTTAATTACTCACCAGGTTACTCTTTCGCCCATAGGTAAAACCCTGCAGCCTCTCCAGGTGTATATCTAGCCAATATACACTCTGCAGACGCTCGGTTCTTTCCCAGCAAAGCGAAATCTGATGTGCGTATCATTGGGCGCGAAAGGAAGAATTTAGGTGCATGAGGAGCAAAGAAGGGTGCAGGGGCACCTGTTAAGGCAGGAATGCGAGGAGGACGGAGTTTGGGAGCAGGGGGAAGGGCTGGGCCCCGCTAGGAGAAGAGCTGGTGCCCAGGATTTGGGGCGGGCGAAGGGAAAAGACCGCGGAGTGAGTAGGACCGGGCAGGGAGGACGCTCAGGAAACCGCCTGTCAAACACCCTGCGGTGAGAGGCGGGCGCGAAGGGCAGGTAAGGGAATCCGAGGAGGTCTGCAGAGTATTCCCGGGCGGAGAAAAGAGATGCAAGGATGGGGTACGCGGGGCCCCAAAGCTCCGCGAGCCAAGAGGGGAAGCGCACAGGAGGACCAGGCGTCTGGTCCGAACCTCTGAGCATCTAGGTGAGGGCGGAATCTTACCTGATACTCGGGGTACTCAAACATGTAGCTCATACTGCATCTGTTCTCCTCGAAACCGAAGAAGACATCCCACAGCCCCAGGGTCGCCATAAAGACCATAAAGACATAAAACGCCAGGTTCCAGAGGTTGACCGAGTGAAGAAACATGGTGGTGCTGCCAAAGCTGCCGCCACCGCCGCCGCGGGGCTGCAAGCACTGACAGAGCGAGCCGAAGACTCCGGGCCGCCCCAGCCGGAGCCAGCCGAGCAGCGCGCGCCTGCGCGTAGCCGGCCGCCCGCGAGCCCGCCGCGCAGTGCGCCTGCGCGCAGCTACCCCCCCGCCCTGGCGCCTCGGGCTGGAGAGTCCCGGGGAACAGGGAGGGGGTGGTGTTTGCAGCGACCACACGAATCTGCCGGAAGAGAGAAGGAGCGAGAAAGCGGAGTGGGCTGGGCTGGAGGGTATAGGGGAAAAGAGGAGGGGGCCAGGAAAAGGAAAAGGGGAGGGAAAGAAAAGAGAGGGGGATGGGAGCCCGGAGGCGCGCTGGCAGAAAGGCTGGAGTGGGCTCCGAAAGGAATAAGCTAGGGAGGGCGATGGAGCCCGGATCCGAGAGCCTACTCTTGACTTTTAGCGGTCTGGTCCACGGGCTGAGGGACACCTAAGGCCAAGTGGCCATCACTGTCCCCTCCCAAACACCTTTCCCTGCAGCAGTTTAAAAGCCCTTCCCGTTGAATTTTGAAATGCCTCAGGCCTCCACGATTTCAGTTCTCCCAGTGGCAACTTAAATTCACTGCTCTCTGGACCAGTTCCCTTTAGGGAACTGATGGTTTCCCCCCTATATTTAACCTCCGACTTAGGCCCTTAAGTAAGAGGCTTAAACGCCCCCCCCCCCCCGCCGTGGGTCGGGGAAGGGTGGAGGGCTTTTCAGCAGAGAGGAGTCTGCTTTTGGTGTAAGATGAAAACCTGAATCACAAAAGGCATCCTTAATTTTAAAATACATTATGAAAATGTCTGCTAGCGCTGCAGTTCCCAACAGGTATCTGCTTGCTCAGGTTGATGTTATCTTGCCTTGTTCCCTAGAACCTCCACTTCGTTGGGAATTGGTTCCATATTAATGTAAGGAGGCAATTTTACTCTAGCTTCCACTCATACCCTGAAGTGATTTAATTCATTTTGAAGAATTCCGTTTTGGTTTTTGCACAAAGGAGGCGGTAAAAAGAAGCTCAAAACCATTCATGACATGTAGCAGCTTCGAAACACTAGACTGTTTTGAAGAGAAAGACACCACAGTGGTCTTTGAAACTGACCCAGTAGCAGATGGGCTGTGTGTATGTGTGTGAATGGTTTTTGGCAATGACTATATTTCATTTCACTAGGGCTGATTTTCTGATACATTTCATGGGCAAAGGATGTTTGGCTCTGACAGATGAAATCAAAGAATTTTAAAACTAAAATGAAGCCTATAGTTTATTTTTTTTATAACACACCAGTGTTAGTAAAAATGATCCTGAAAGTGAAGACATTCTTTACCGTACACAGAAACATTTGCAAGTCTAAACAAATACAACTAGCTATTAGATGTGAAATATTGATGGAGAAGGAAATAAATGGGGAAATGCAGAGGCAGGTTCCTTTTATGTATGGAAATGAATTTAGAAGAACCAGAATACCAGGTGGGGGAACTGTAGGTAACAGTGACCAACAAAGTAGAAGCCTCAAGTAATGTGTATTTGGGATGCATTATATATGAAGTTCTTGTGGTGGTGAATTCACTTGGGAATGTCTTTTATATTCTGTTGATAGGAATCGAGTGTATTAAATTTGTAAAAATAACACCAACATGACTGGATTATCAAGAAAATCCTGTTTCAATAAGCACAATATTTAAAGATAAATATGATAAAGAGGAATATACTGTAGACTTTTGATATTGTTAAACCCACAAAAGAGAGCGCTTAGAGGTTGTGGGGTGGAATTGTTACAGAGCTGGGGCCTTCTGAAAAACTGAGGCAGGGCAAAGATACCCATCCCATTCCCCCACCCCCACCACTTCAAACCCGGATTCTTGGGACCAAGTCAGAAAGATTTCAGACAGATCACTCAGAGTAATAGGAATGAATTTATTGAAGGGATGGGAAAAGGGGAAGGAGATTCTAAGAGAGGAGAGGGACAAAGATGTCCCTCTCCTGCACTCCAGTTTTATTGGCAGTCCCAGAGAAGTTTCCAGAGAGTCCTGCCCAGGTCTTCCTCTTGACTTTTACAGCAAGATGACATCAGACCTTCAAGTCCCCACTGTCATGGCAACTCTAGGTTACCTTGGCCCATGCTGACTGGTTCTAATTGGCTTCTAAACCATATATTCGTACAGATTTTATGGTTAGGAAGAGCTATTTTTATATCCTAGAGTTTCAGGATCTGGTCACAAAAATCTCCTGGGTTCCTCCCATGGACGGTATCTTGGTCATGCATTTATTCTGCAGTTAACAGGTAGTTTGCTGAGGAATGTGACATATTCTGTCCACTTTGGCCAGGCAAAGCTGCAGGTAAATTGCTTCTTGGAAAAGAAAGCACATCTGAGGGAGCAGTCAACACAGTGGGCCCATTTTATAGAATTATTCTCTTTGTGTTCCCACCATTCAAGTCATTCTGTTCCCTAACAGAATTACTAGTTAGTGCAGAGGGTTATAGATCTTGTAGGGAAGGATTTAAGTTATAGATTTAAAAAGGGATATATTGAGTCTGTATGCTCAAGAACATCACAGGCAGAACATCTGCCCCTTATTTCTCTTTGCTTATTATAGGAAATATTATAATAAACAAATCAGAGATAATTCCAGTTTCCCCTATCAACCTATCCCAGCACTTCTTAATGTGTATATGAAGTATTTGGAAGTTTTGTTAAAAAGCAAGTCTGATTCAATACTTTTGAGATCGGCCCAGATTCTGCATGGCTAATAAGCTCCTGGGTGATGGCAATATTGCTGGCCAATGGACTACACTTTGAGTAGCAAGGGTCTACCTTGCCTGAGGACAGCTACAATGAAGAAAACCCTGAACTTAAAGATGACAGAGTTTACTCTTGATGTGGCTTTCATGAGGTATGGCAATGAGCTTCCTTGATTATCCTCTCAGGACTGAAATAGAAAGTCAATTGAATGGGTATGTTTATAATCTTCCTATACTACTTTTTAACACCCCCCTCATCCATCATTATCTTCTTCTGACCTCACTTTCTTTATATCTAACCTAACCCTACCAAATATTACTTCAATATCCTCTGACATTGCTGTCAACTTCCATGAAGTCTTGTCTTTCTATCCAACTGTACTTATAGACTTCCACCCTTGGTTTAATATAGTCTTACTTAGCTCTGACACTAGTATATCTGAGTACTACTGGATAAAATGACACAATCATTTGAATTACAGTCCCAAAATACCTGTATATGATTCTGGTGAGCTTCCTCTCCTATTTTTCAAACCACTACTTTTTAAAAAATTGTTTATTCTAATTTGTTATATACAATATCAGAATGCATTTCAATTCATATTACACATATAGAGCACAATTTTTCATTCCTCTGGTTACACAAAGTAGAGTCACACCATTGTGTCTTCATTCATGTACTTAGGGTAATGATGTTCATCTCATTCCACCATCTTTCCTACCCCTATGCCCCCTCCTTTTCCCTCCCTCCCCTTTGTCCTATCTAGAGTTCCTTCATTCTTCCCATGCCCCCCCACCACATACCCATTATGAATCAGCATCCTCATACCAGAGATAACATACGGCATTGGTTTTTTGGAATTGTTTTACTTTGCTTAGCATAAATATTCTCCAACGCCATCCATTTACCTGCAAATGCCATGATTTTAACCTCTTTTAATGCTGAGTAATATTCCATTGTGTGTACATACTACGTTTTCTTTATCCATTCATCTAATGAAGGACATCTAGGTTGGTTCCACAACTTTGCTTCTGTGAATATTGTTGCTGTAAAAATTGAAGTAGCTGTGCCCTGTAGTATGCTGTTTTTAAATCCTTTGGGTATAAACTGAGGAGTGGGATAGCTGGGTCAAATGGTGGTTCTATTCCCAGTTTTCCAAGGAATCTCCCAACTGCTTTCCAGATTGGCTGCACCAATTTGCAAGCCCACCAGCAATGTATGAGTGTTCCTTTTCCCTCACATCCTTGCCAACACTTACTATTGTTTGTATTCTTAATAGCTGCCATTCTGGTTGGAGTGAGATGAAATCTTAGAGTATTTTTGATTTGCTTTTCTCTAATTGCTACAGATGTTGAACATGTTTTCATATATTTGTTGATTGATTGTATAACATCTTCTGAGAAGTGTCTGTTCAGTTCCCTGGCCCATTTATTGATTGGATTGTTTTTTGGTGTTAAGATTTTTTAGTTCTTTATATATCCTGGAGATTAGTGCTCTATCTGATGCATGTGGTAAAAATTTGCTCCCATTCTGTAGGCTCTCTATTCACTTCACTGATTGTTTCTCTTGCTGAGAAGAAGTTTTTAGTTTGAATCCATACCATTTATTGATTCTTGATTTATTTCTTGTGCTATAGGAATCATATTAAGGAAGTCAGGGCCTACTCTGACATGATGGAGATTTGGGTCATTTTTTCTTCTATTAGGCGCAGAGTCTCTGGTTTAATTTCTAGGTCCTTAATCCAGTTTTTGTTGAGTTTTGTGCATGATGAGAGATAGGGGTTGATCTTAACCAAAAGGCTGAGAAGTGATCAAACCACTACTTTTTAAACACTATACATCTTTTCTCCCCTTCTCTTTTAGAATATTAGTACTTAAACTTATATTTATAGAGTTAATTTTTAAATTTTTTTTTAGTTGTAGATGGACACAATATCTTTATTTACTTATTTGTATGTTGTAGTACTGAGGATCGAACCCAGCGTCTCATGCATGCGAGGCAAGCACTCTACCACTGAGCTACAACCCAGCCCTATAGAGTTAATTTTGACTTTCTGGGTGCACTTGCTTAAGCTTTTCATTCCCAAGTTCATCATCTCCACCTAATCCTATTTAGTTAATACATCTAACTGCCTGGAAGAATACCTGGTATGCAATAGGTGTTATCATTTTACTTTGCTGTCCTTCAAACATACTAAAAGCAATCTTCCAGTCATTCCCACCCTATTCATCTTTCTTTTCAGGGAATTAGTTCTACCAACTTAAGTTCTCTGTCATCTGTTCTCCATTCCCCCAAATCTATAAATTTGCT